TAGTACTAGTAGTAGTAGTAGTAGTAGTAGTAGTAGTAGTAGAAGTCGTCGTCGTCGTAGTTGTAGTAGTAGTAGTAGTAATAGTAGTGGTATTAGTAGTAGTAGTAGTAGTAGTAGTAGTAGTAGTAGTAGAGGAAGAAGAAGGCGTAGTCGTAGTAACATCCATAATGGTAGTGGTAACCGTACGGTTAGAGTAGTAGCAGGAGTAGTCGTAGTACTAATTGTGGTCGTGTTCGTAGTAGTGCGTTGGCCATGGCCATGGCCATGGCCATGGCAGTAGTGGTAGTAGTAGTAGTAGTAGTAGTAGTCGTCGTAGTAGTCGTAGTCGTAGTCGTCGTCGTCGTCGTCGTCGTAGCAGTAGTAGTAGTAGTAGTAGTAGTTAGTAGTAGTAAAGAGTGGTAGTCGTAGTAGTAGTAGTAGTAGTAGTAGTAGTAGTAGGTATAGTAGTAGTAGTATGGTGTAGTAGTAGTAGTAGTAGTAGCAGTAGTAGTAGTAGAAGTGAAGTAGTAGTAGTAGTAGTAGTAGTAGTAGTAGTAGTAGTAGTAGTAGTAGTAGTAGTAGTAGTAGTAGTCGTAGTAGTAGTAGTGTAGTCGTATAGTAGTAGTCGTAGTAGTAGTAGTCGTAGTAGTAGTAGTAGTAGTAGTAGTAGTAGTAGTAGTAGTAGTAGTAGTCGTAGTAGTAGTAGTAGTAGTAGTAGTAGTAGTAGTAGTAGTGGTGGTAGTAGTAGTAGTCTTAGTAGTAGTAGTCGTTGTAGTAGTAGTAGTCATAGTAGTAGTAGTAGTAGTAGTAGTAGTCGTAGTAGTAGTAGTAGTAGTAGTAGTCGTCGTCGTCGTAGTCGTAGTAGTAGTCGTATTCGTAGTAGTTTTTTTTAGTAGTAGTAATCGTAGCAGTAGTTGCCAGCACTGTTGATGTAGTATGCATGCGTAGAGGCAGTAGTTGTATCAGCAGCAATGGCAACTGCACTTCATGCCGATGTAGCCGCAATGGTAGAGGCAGTGGTAGAAGCCGGGTAAGAATTAGTAGAGTAGGTGTGGTGGAAGTAGTCGCACAAACATGTACAGCGGGAATCGCCAGAAGCTGCGACATTGCTTGCAGCGCTGTTGGTATTAGTACCAGCAGGACGAGTAGTTGCAAGCGCCTTATTAAGTATACCTTGTTCGGTGGAGCTGGCTGTGGCAGTCGTAGGAATAGTAGTCGTAGTTTTAGCACAGTGATGGTACCACAGTCGTCAAAGACATTGCAGCCAACTCGATTTGCGAGCGTCCAGGGTCAAAGGCTCTAGTGAGCGTCCGTCTGCGCCAGTGTTTGTTGCAGGCGTAGCTCCATGTGTCTCTTGAAGCCAGTGTGGCTGATCAAGCATGTGCACAGGAGACTCCTGCCGTGCTGTACACTCTGTGTAAGCAGATGGCGCTGCATATCTTGCTCGGGCGAGCCCGCCAAAGGGTAACGTGGCGTGTGTTGCTAGTTCAGGTGATTCGAAGAAGAAACATCTGCATAAACATTGACTTTTGGACTTCCGCGTGGATTCCTTGGCTCGGCACTGGATCCCCCTCCCTGGCGCCAGGGGCGGCGCCGGAGTCGCTACCAGGGGAGCCCAGCGCCGATCCCAGAAATTGGCAAGGCTTCGAACAATGATGGTCATGATGTTCTCTGTGCCTCTGTTGAGGCGCTGGTCCTTCTCGAAATGACAGCGGTACTTGGCAACTGTTGTGCCGTTGTGCTGAGTTGCGCAGGGGCCTCCCTCCCGAGGTCCACGGGCGAGATCGCGTTTCTGGCCAAAGCGTCCACAAGGTTCACGGCGATCGCGGCGTCTCGATTGTCCCGGCATGGGTGGGCCGGGCGGGCTTCGCGTCAGAGGGGCCAAATCTGTCGTCATGCGAGGCAGACGCGCGTCACGCGCTCGTCAAAATCCGTCCAAACTCTTAATCCTCATCCTCTCTCTCCTCGCCCTTCTCGCCCTCCTCCCCATCCTCTTCCTTACTCGTTAATCCTTGTCCCTCCGATCGACGTGTGCACATTTCGGGCGCCGTTCCTGTTAACGTTTTCAGGCCCGTGATCGATCCGTGGCCCGCCTATCCGTTTTTTCCCAGTGGACTTGCTTTTTCATGTCACAGTGCCGCCCGCCTGACGTCCACTTGCTTGGGTGTCGCGCTCAGCACGGCCTGGTCGAGTCCAATGCGAATTGTGGAAAACAGGGGGGAGTAAGACTACGGGTGAGGGTCTCGTCGCAGAAGGCGATTGTCACGGATCGGGGTCGGTCTGGCCGTGCCCGCGAGTTTGCATGACAATTGCGTGGTTCCGTTCATTTTAGTTTCTCACGCCCGGCAATTGCCTTGCGTTCGCAAGTAGATCACTGTGCATCCAGACTCGCCCCCTCCAGAGCCCGGGGAGGACTCAGATGGACGCGCTCTTGGACGCCACGACAGACAAGTTCGATGCACTTGAAGGCAGGGGCCTCATTGGGCTGTGGTTCAAAGACAAATTTGCACAAACATGCATTTGGGGAGCTCCGCAGGGACTTCTTGGATCGGCGTTGGGCCCCCCTGGCGGTTCCTCCGGCGCAGGCCTTGGCGCGCTCCGCGCGCCAGGGAGGGGGTTCAGCGCCGATCCAAGAAAACTCCGCGCGGAGTTTCGAAGGTGCATGTTTATGCCGTACAGTATCCCTCTAGTTGATGGGCCTGTTTTCCACCACCACCACCATAAGTTGAAGGGGGGAAGGAGGAGGAGGACGAGGGGAGGAGGAGGAGGAGGAGGAGGAGGAGGACGAGGGGAGGAGGAGGAGGAGGAGAGGAGGAGGAGGAGGAGGAGGAGGAGGAGAGGAGGAGGAGGAGGAGGAGGAGGAGGAGGAGGAGGAGGACCCCCTCCCCCTCCAACTTATGGTGGTGGTGTTGGTGGAAGACAGCCCCATCACTGGGGGTAAAGCGAGCTGGCTCCGATGGCCCGATGCCCGATCGGCGGAGCGGAGACGGACCGACCGGCCGGCACGCTGTTCACGTATGCCCTGGACCGCTGGTGCGGTGCAGGCCTGCCCCCTGCCATAAGCCCCGCAGCTGCGGACACGAGTGCAGTGGGGGGGTTGGGGGGGGGGCACGTCAGCAGCGCGCGAGGCCTGGGAGGAGACGTGAAGAGGCCTGCCGCGGGGGCCGAATTTTTCAGTTACGCTGCACAGCTTGCTTCGGAGAAGAGAAAAATCGCCAGAAACATAAACTTTTGGCGCTCCGCGCGGATTTCTAGGATCCGCGCTGGGGTCTCCCTGGCGGCGCCTCTGGCGCCGCCCCTGGCGCGCTCCGCGCGCCAGGGAGGGGGGTCCAGCGCAGATCCAAGGAATCCGCGCGGGGCGCCAAAAGTTCATGCTTTTGCCATTTTGTTTTCTTCTATTGCTCGCCGCAGGCGCCGGCTCATTTTCAGCGCAAGCGGGTGGGTCGCGGGTGGGTTGCGGGGCGTGTCGCGGATGGGTCGCGGAGAGGCGGAGAGGGGTCGGCGACAAGAAAGCAAAAAGACGAGCACGAGGCCGCACCGCGGAACCTCGCTTCGGCCGCACACCCAGGGGCAGTGTGAGGTCGCTCGGGCCCCAAGGTCTGACGGAGTTTGTCCACGAGGTTGTCCAGGTACTTTGTTGCGCACACCCGCCACCGCGTGGCAGGTCGGGAGGGAGGGGGCAGTGGGTGGCGGTGGCTGCGGGGGGGAGGGGGCAACGACTACAAGGGGTGTGGTTACGCCAGGGTGCGGTTTTCGATCTACGCAGTTTTGGCTTTGAGGGCCACTACGTTGCGCCAAAGAGTTGGCGACCCCTCGCTGGGGCGCGGCGGAGAACTCTGTCGAGGTCCTCGCCCGCGCCCCAGGAGCACGGGTTGCAGACCACAGCCTCTGCAAACCACGCCGGGGGGGGCGGGGGGCGGCCCTGGAGCGCCCTGTTTGAGACCTCGTGCTTGGGGCCCGGAGCAGATAGCTGGCGGTTACCCGTGTTGGCCTCGCCTCGTCGCGGGGGCAGGGCGAGCGAGGCTGAGCAGGCCAAGACATTGGCCTGGCACGTGCTTTTCCTTCAGCGCGCTGAAGGGTCCGGTCAGCGGCAGAAGTTGGGGAAGAAACATATCCATAACCATACTTTTTCGGAGGCCCGCGCGGATTTCTTGGATCGGCGCTGGAGGCCCCTGGCGGCGCCTCCGGCGCCGCCCCTGGCGCGCTCCGCGCACGGGGGGGGGGGTCCAGCGCCGACCCAAGAAATCCGCACGGACCTCCAACAGTTTGTGTTTATATGCCATGTGCTGCTCCTCTACGGGGGCCGTGGCGGTCTAGGCTCAGGGTGGCATGTTTCCTGGTAGCACTGCGCGATAACCTCCTCCTCCTCCTCCTTCTTCTTCTCCTCCTCCTCCTCCTCCTCCTCCTCCTCCCCTTCCTCCTCCTCCTCCTCCTCCTCCTCCTCCTCCTCCGCCTTCCCCTTCTCCTCTTCCTGCTCCTCCTCCGCCTCTCCTCCTCCTCCTCCTCCTCCTCCTCCTCCTCCTCCTCCCCTCCTCCTCCCTCCTCCTCCCCCTCCTCCTCCTCCTCCTCCTCCTCCTCCTCCTCCTCCTCCTCCTCCTCCTCCTCCTCCTCACCCTCCTTCTCCTCCTCCTCCTCCTCCTCCTCCTCCTCCTCCTCCTCCTCCTCTTCCTTCTCCTAAGAACATGGGCCCCGAGGGGGGCCGCACACGGGCGGAGAGACGGGGCAGGGAAGCTCGGGCGGCGCAGGCAGGGAGAGAGAGAGAGAGAGAGAGTGCAGCGCCTGCCAGTGCGATACACGCGCACAGACAAGTTTCAAGCAGTGGCGAAGCGTCCTGGCTCGCAGATGGGGTCCAGGGCCCTGGTCGTGATTGTTCGCGATGTCGGATGTCAGAGGATGGGGTCCGATCAGACGGGGTCGGAGGATCGCACCGCATCGCCGATGCATCGGCGATAGGTCTCGATTCGGAGCCCGAACTTCTCCATCCCGACGTTGCATCGGCGATGCGGCGCGATCCTTCAACCCCATCTACTCGGACCTCAATGGGGCGGCCTCCATGTCAAGAATTTCTGCTAACTTCAGTCCTCGACCCAATAATATCGGTCTTCGACCACGGCGACGACGACGCAGCCTCAGGCTTTTGTGGACGGCTGGCGTTGTCACCAACGCCGCCGCCGCCGTTGCTGCTACTGCTGTCACGGTGCAGCTGGTCTCGACTAGAATAGAGTGTCGGCACGGTGCCAGGAATTACTTCGGGGGGATATCCCTCGTCCCTGCTCCTCTTTCCTTTTTGCTGCTCCTCCTCCTCCTCCTCCTCCTCCTCCTCCTCCTCCTCCTCCTTCTCCTCCTCCTCCTCCTCCTCCTCCTCCCCCCTCTTTCCTCCTCCTTTCTGGTCCTCCTCCGTCTTTCATCTTTCTTCTCCCTCCTCTCTGCTCATCCCTCTTTCCTTCCCCCCCTCCCTCTCTTGACTACCTCGTTGTAGCCCAGCCGCTGCTGCCGCCGCTGCTTCACCGTCCCCTGGGCGCCTCCGTCTTTGCCTTTGCCTCCCTCCCTTTTCCCTCCCCCCCCGTCAATCGCCCTCCCCCTTCTCCCAGAGTTCAGCCATGGGCTGACGTTTACATTGTGTCAGAGCCACGTGTTGATGAGTGGGAACAGAGGGGTCACGCTGAGGCCAGGGTGCCTCGACAGAGCCCACCGGGAACGTCTTCCTGTCCCTGGACTTGGCGAACGACGCAACGCGGGGAGGGGCTCTGTCTTCGGGCAGCGGAGCAGAGAGAGAGAGGGGTGTTGACATATCTGCAACCGTCTATGGCTCATTTTCGTCTTGCGGCTTCGTAAAGGGTTGTGAGCTGGCTTGGCGGGGATTTCAGGAAATTGGCCCTAAGGGGGCCCTAGCGGGGCCGACTCGGTTTCTGAGCGCTCCCGTGCTTTATTGGTGGATGCCCGTTTTTTATTTTCCCTCTCGCTCTCTCTCTCGTTTTTTTTTTTTTGTTCTCTCTCTCTCTCTCTTTCTCTTGTTTGTTCTATCTCTGTCTCTGTGTCTCTCTCTCACTCTTTCGCTCATGTCTCTCTATGTAGAATTCTCGCCTCTCTACCGCTCACGTTTTACTTTGGCATATTTCTTGAACAGTGCTTGTACTTAGGGTGTCTTTCTTCTGTTCGAAGGAGCTGGGCCTTTGTGGTGATCTAGCGGCCATGTTGCCGCCGTCGCCGCTTCGTCACCGACAGTCGTCTTTCTTGGCCTGGGTGGCCGTTTGGCGGCTATGTTGTTGCTGTCGACGCCCCGTCGCCGCCTTATCGCCGTCCTCGTCTGGACCTGGGTGGCGGTTTGGCGGTTATGTTGCCGCCATCGCCGCTTCGTCGCCGTCCGCATAGGTCGTCTCTTTCAAAAAGGAATTCGGATCTACTGCCCTCCTCCCCCTGGACTTGTCGGTCATCCCCACCAGCCCATCCAGAAACCCTGCCCTTCAGAGTTGCCGGGAAAACGGACCAAGAGACACATCTAGGGAAACAAAGCGAGCAAGGGGGTGGCCTTGGAAGGCCTCTTCGGGCCATCCCTGGGTGCCGTGTGGGGGCGAGGGGATGAGGATGAGGAGGAGGAGGAAGACGAGGAGGACGAGGACGCGGATGAGGACGAGGACGAGGAGGAGGAGGAGGACTAGTAACCGCATCAAGCAATTAAGAATCCCACCCCCCTCTCTGGCGAAAGTATAAAGCACCCGGCATCCCAGAAGCGTTACCCTGGCACCTCGCACCTTTATGTGAACGCAGACGAGTCTGCTCGCCTAAACAAGCAAACCGCCTGAAACATTCTCGCAATATTTTGGCTCTCATTCGCCATTACGGATCAAGCTGAGGGCCAAAGCCTCAGTCAAGAGGCCTTGGCCCAGCTAAACAGTAACAATCCTCCTGCTCTTCCTCCTCAAGACGCCCTTACGGCACGGCACCAACACGAACAACGACAATAATACCAGCAATAAGAATTGTATCTAGAACAACAGGCCAATAACAGCAACACCAACAACAACATCAACATCAAAAGCACCAACAACACCGCCAACACCATCAAAAACAACATTGAGCCCCACGCAAGGGAGAGCCAAGCTTTGAAAAGGAACCGTCCGTGCCTACGATAGGGGGCGAATAATTTTGGCGGTGCTGGCGCTAAGATAACGCGCCGTGCGTGGCAAGGGCGATATCCTCGGATGCACTACCCCACACGACGGCCGGGAAACAACATTTTTTCAATGGGGGTGGTAATACACATCGTACAGGACAAGGATGATGAAGATAATCAGACCAAGCGCGTTTTCTTATTGTCATGCTTATTCTTAGTATGTTTATTGTTATTTTTGTTTTTTTCCTTACTATTACTCTAATTATGATTCTGTTTGTTATGGTTATTATTATTGTTATGCTTATTGTTCTTTTTATTATCATCATTTTTTCAGATTATGATTATGTTTATTATTCTTACTGTTATTCTTACTTGTATTAGTATTCCGATTCGTATTATTATTCGTACTCTTACTCTTTTTCACTCTTATTCCGATTCTTATTATTATTCTCATTCTTATTACCTTCATTAGTTTTATTTTCATTATTATTTTTCCTATTGCTATTCTTATTGTTATTCGTAGTCTTATTCTTAGTTGTATTCTTACTTTGGTTCTTGGTCTTGTTGTGCTTCTTGTCTTTTTTTGACAAGCTGTCGTAATTATTTTGTGCGGGTGCGGTGCTAAGAAAACGCGCCGTGCGTGGCGGGGGCGACATCCTCGGATGCACAACCCCGCAGGACGGCTGGGAAAAACAATTTTCCAACAGGGGTGGTAATAATAATCGTATAGGACAAGGGTGGTGCAGATAATGATTTCACTTTTATTTGACTTTTCAGTTTTCATCCTTCTTATGATGCTTATTATTCTTCTTATTCTTGTTCTAAGTAGGATTCGCATTCTTAGTATTGTTTTTATTTTTCTTGTTCCGATTACTTTTCGTATTAATATCCGTATTCTCATTCGGATTCTGATTCTTATTACTACGATTATTATTATCAGTATTACTACTCTTATTTTTACTCTATTATTATCTCTCTTACTCGGGTCCTTAGTATTATTCTTATTATTGCTATTGTTATTTTTTATCATCCTTATTCTCATTCGTATTATTATTATTATTATTATTATTAGTATTTCCACCCGTATTTTACTTCTGTTATTCTTAATATTATTCCAATTCCAATTGGGATATCACCCGAGCCGGGGCGCGGGAACTATTTTTTTTCGTTCCACTTGCGCGGTGCTAACTATATCTTTCGGCGAAAACCGCCCCCCAGAATTATTTGTTCACGGCGCGGTCCTACTGATAAAACCGGGGGGGTCCTTAATGGCTTCATGCGGTTATGAGGACGACGCGGACGAGGACTCGTTGAACCATCTAGAGGTATTCTTGCGGCGGCTTCTGCTGCTGGTGCTCACTGGGAGTTTTGGGGGCCCTCTTTGGACCTTCTTGGTGACCCTGGAAGGCTTCTTGGGATCATCTTGGAGGCCATCGATTACAGGATGGGGGGGTCCCCAACTCAGCTCCTCCCTGAGGAGCCAGCAAGCCGCTTCTTAGGGCTCTCTTGGAGCGCTCTTGGGCGCTTTTGAAGCGGTCTTGGGGCCGTTTGGAGCATCTTGGGGGCCATGTTGAGCCAGCTTGGGCTACCTGAGCCATCTTGGAGGTCATGTTGGGTTCCCTGAGACCGCTCGGGGGCCTCTTGGGGGCCTCTCGGATGCCTCTTGGACCCTCTTGAAGCCCTCTTGGGGCTCTCTTGAGGCTCTCTTGCCCTGGAGCGCCTCTTGGGGCCATCTTCGAGGCTATCGATCAAAGGAGGGATTCCCCCGATCGACGTCCCCCCCCTCGGGCGCCACGATCCTCGTGAGGGGTGTCAACAATCGGCCCTCCCAGGGGCCGATTTCGGACGCTCCAACGCCTCGCGGCCCCTCCCGTCTAGGTCCAGGGACTCTAAAGGAGGCTAGGGCACAGGCAAGAGGTACCGAGCGTTTGTCCGCGGCCGTTTGTGATCAAGCGGCCGCCGCCAAGATCTGACTGCGCCTGATCGCGAGGCACATTACTTGCCATTGAGACCGAGAACATCTTCGCTTGACATGGCTCGTCGCTCCCGCGACTCGCTCCTACTCTTGGGGCTATCGTAACTACGGTACATCAGGAGTTGGATATGGGCTTTGCCTTTCAAACTTGGTAGCAGAGCTGTCCTGTTGAGGACAGCGATCGCTCTACTCCTCACCATCTACGGTATTATCTGGTGGACTACTGATATGGTGGGACATCAGGGTGCAGTGGCTTTGCGCGGAGGAATGTGCATTAATCGCATAACCGCAAGGACTTGTTTCGTCGTCGTCGTCCTTCGTCGTCCTTCGTCGGCGTCTCGTCGTCGTCCCTCCTATTTCGTCGCCGTCGTCGTCGTCGTCGTCGTTGTCGTCGTCGTCTTCCCTCCTCCCTCGTCGTTGTCGTCGTCGGCGTCGCCGTCCTTCCTCCTTCTTCGTCGTTCGCGTCGTCGCCGTCCTCCCTCCTCCCTCGTCGTTGTCGTCGTTGTCGTCGTTGTCGCCGTGGTCGTCCTTCCTCCTCCCTCGTCGTCGTCTTCGTTGGCGTCGTCGGCGACGTCGTCGTCGTCGTCGTCGGCGTCGTTGTCGTCGTCGAAGTCGTCGGGGACGTCGTCGGTCTCGTCGTAGTCGTTGTCGTCGGTGTCGTCGTAGTCGGTCTTAAGAGGTTTTGCAAACCAAGTTGCGGATGGGTGGGTGGGATGTTTGCAAGAGCATGGGGTGTGTCAAATCATGGTGCAAATCAGTTGCTCCACATGGAAGGTTGCATCTTTCATATCTAAAGATAAGGTGTTTGCGGTCCGCTCTGGTTAGCACACCAGTTTGCTGAAATAGCGTAAGAGAGAGAGAGAGAGAGAGAGAGAGAGAGAGAGAGAGAGAGGCGCCATTCCCCGTCGTTCCATTTTTTCGTCTGCGCGCGTGCGTGGACGGGCCGAGTGTGACCGTTCGCCACCTCCAATTGCCCGCTCTGCGTCGCGCGCGCGTTGGGAGTGCGCGCGGGGAAGGGAGAAACAGAGAGGGAGTGAGCGAGAGAGACAGAGAGCAACCGCTGCGTCATCATGTCCCCGAACCACTTTGGGCGCGCAGGGTCCGAGAGGGCATCCGCTACCCATCCCAGTTCTCTGAGCATTGTGTATGGGAGTGTATAAGAGCAGCCGCATCCCCCTCCCACTTCCTCTTAGCGCACGGCGTTGAAGCAGTTGCGGTTATACAGTCCCACTCGCATAGATCAGGGGAAATGGGAGGGGTCAGCGGCTGTCCTGTCGCATTCTGCGTGCCCAAAAAACAATGTGGGGGGGGTGGAAGCGGTGGTGGCACCGACTGCTCTCATTCTCTCTCTCTCTCTCTCGTACTCTTTCTGTTTCTCTCTCTCTCTCTCTGTCGCACCCGTAGGACAGGCAGTGGCAGGGGGTGGCAAGTGCCTTCGCACCCTCCGCGCACACGCGCAACCGAAATTTAAAAGGGGCCAGTGGCAGTTTTTTTTTCTTTCTTTCTTTCTCTCTCTCTCTCGCTCTCTTTCTCGCCCGTGTTTGTTCTCGCTCTCTCTCTCTCTCTCTCTCTTGTTGTCTCGCCCTTTCTTTCGTTATGTGAACAACTGCATGCATCCAGCAATCCTTACATCCATACTCCGATATGTACAATTTGAAACAACTTGCATCGAATACAGTTTTGAAACAAACACGTAAGCGTTTTAACCTGTAGCGATCACGGGTGTTATAGCAAATTTACATACATAATGTTACAGGTTGCCAACTTGTCCTTAATACGTATGTGCGTATCTATTCATCTACATATGTATAGATGTCCCTCCATACGTCGATCACTTAACCTGTATGCGTGGCCGTCCCAGGCACATATGTATATGTGTCTCCCTTTTGCGGCCATGTATTCATGCAGTTACCCATACGTGTAAGGCGATCGATTCATCCATCCTCGCACGCATAAGTATACATACACACATTACCGGTGTATAACTATATATATGTATGTATATCCATATTGCGACAATCCATCTGTCATATATAGTCATGAATCGTTTGCTCGGATTGTTTCCGGACGTCCATACGCATGGACTTATATACATATATACATATGTATATATTTACACATCTGTATCCATCTATAGATCTGCATATAGTATGTACGCATGTTTTTTTTAGTGTAGGTCCGCATGTCTATTCGTAAACTCTCATCAACAGATATACGCGTGCACACTTTTATGCTTTCGTGCCACGGTGTCAACCAAAATGTGTGCATTGCATTTATAGCAGTACAATCATATATACATGTGCCGATATATGTGTACATATACATATATATATATACATGCACATCTCTACCATCCATCCACCCATCCATCTATCAATACGCGCGTCCGCACACACATCTATATCTACACATTGCATATGCGTATCAATACGGTATCCGTATGTGTATGCATAATTGCATTTGCATGTGTAGGTGCATGTGTATGTGCATGTGTATGTATATATGTGGAGGTATACACATGGACGGCTTTTGTTATATATAAATATATATATATATACATAGCATAGCTGCATATACTTAGTTGTAGACCGCTATGTATGATAGGTGTTGTTGGGACGCTTCTGCACCGTAGGTAATCAATGTTTAACTCGCCCGTAAAATTAATTCCAGCGTAAGCCGCGCGAACATAAATTTGTATACGATGCGCACAATAAAAATTAAGCAACTTGTCAGTCCCAAGTTCATGGGACCCGATTGTAAAGCCACCCGTGCCCAAATTGCTTCGGCGCGCCCCGCCTTGAGCTCGACTGGCGCATTACCGCTTCCGCACCGTTATGACTGCTGAACTCCAAGCGTTTCTCTATAGATGGCCTCCCGGGGCTATACTGCCAAATTCAGGGCTGTGCGGGCGGAGGTCTCTGGCACGGCAGCGCCCCAGATGCGAGGGGGGCAGGTCTGGCGTCGGCGAGTCGAGCATCGCCTCCGCGGGCAGCACTTGCCGCATCGGCATGGAGACCTCCCGGAGGGGTGTGGTGTTGGGACTGTTGCCCTATGACTGCACCGCCTCACTTCGATGCCAATCTGAAGGGCTCCTTCCATTTCTGAGGGCGCATGCCTAAACTTGTCATCGCCTTCGGCTTGCCGATCCTGGGGGTAGGGATATCGTCGAGGCTGGTTCGATTGGAGTCGGTTGAGGGCGTCTGAGGTGACTTCCCTCTGATTCTGGCCGGCAGAAACCAGACGTCTGACGCATCGGCGAAATCAAGGCGGAGGTGTTTCGCCGACTTCTGCTTCTGCAGGCCTTGGCCAGGCCTTGGGGCCGCCCACACAAGGGCTCAGGATGAAAAGTCGGTCCCGGGGAGGGCTCGAGCTTTCCGAGGGCCCCGTTTCAAACAAATCTTGGCAGGCCCTGGGACGGCCAAAAACCGGCTCAGGGTGAAAAGCCGGTCCCGGGGAAGGGTCGAGACCTCCGAGCCTCCCGTCTTGAAGCAGAAGCCAAGACAGCGGATCTTTGGGCAGGGCGGCGGGCGAAGCGGTTCCCTCGGGGACCCGGTTTTGAACGAGTCTTGACCGCGGATCTCTGGGAGGGGGGGCGGGGGAAAGGGTCCCCTCGTGGCCACGGCTGGGCTCGGCCGGAAGAGCTCGTCAGTTTCGGACCCCCAGGAGGGGTCTGGGGACCGATGTTGTGCGACGTTGGCTTCGTCCCCCCCTCCCTCTTGACCGATTCTTTGTCTGAGACTGGAACATATACATTACCAGTGGCGGATTGTTTTCCAATCCCACGACTTTTTAAGGGTCAGGGACGACGTCGGGGTGGTGTGGTGTATACTTTCCCCCCGTTTTCCGAGGGAAACAACGAAAAATGTATACACCAGGATCCCGTATACACCAGGATCCACGTTCCTGTGCGAATTTCAGCGCAGGGTCGGAAAAAGCGTCGGTGTATAGAGCTCGTTTCCCCACTTTGGGTTTATCCTGCTCGGACCCCATGGCCGCTTCCAACCTGGTGCTGTTGATGTTGTTGCCGAGCCTTCGCTCTTCTTGCAGGCTGGTTATCGTTGACCTCCCGCCTTGCCTGGCGCGCCCTGGCCTGTCTCGATCAAGGTGTACAGTGGAGGCCCATGCCAAGAAACACCCTGCTCGCCTCCAGGGTGCCCTGGGTTTCTTGGGCCTCGATGGTTTTGCGATGGAGAGCGCGACGTCCCCACAACAAAAATCAATTGACGCCCTGGGGTCTCAGGGTTGGGTCGAACGGTTCTTTTGGACTGGCCTCCACTGTATGTGATTGTGTGTGCGTCGACGCCTTCAGGGATCGAAGTCTGTCCGTGCGGCTTCACCAGGAAGCTGATTGCCTGCCCGCGCTCGCTCTGATCTTGGCAGTCTCTGACCCGGACTCTTGCGTCGGAGGAAGAGTGTGCGCCTCGACGTTTTGAACCCTCTGCTTTGTCGAGGACGGCCTTGGGAGGGGGTTTTCGTGACCCCCCCTCCTTCCCGGGATTACCGCGCGGGCTGTCTTCGATGTTTCGTTCCCCCGACCCGCCGTGGGGGAGCCCAACAAAAACCCGTTATGGCTTTAATGATTATGATGCCCTCGCCTCTGATGCGGTGTCTTCCCCCCTCCAGCTCCGCCCCCCGCTCCTCGCCCTGTCCCTCCTCGCACCTCCTCTCATTTTCCCATTCTCCTTCTCCCCGTCCTCTCGCAGGCGCAGGATAATAACACCCACGGCTGTTAATCAGAAAGGTGATGTTTTCGTTCCAGCCCTTGCTACTTTGTTTTTGCGCCTCTCGGTTTGGCATGTCGTCGGCGACCCGATGTTCTTCCTCTTCTGGCCCCAGATCAGTTGTAACATGTTTCTTCTGGCCCCGTATCAGTTGTAACAGGGCCCGCCGGGGACGGAGGAGAACGGCGGCGAGCTCGACGACGGCGGCCGGCGCCCGGCGGATGTGTATATTCCCCGTTGGCGTAACGGCGCCCTGGCCGCCCTTGACTTCGCGGTCACCTCGGGGCTGCGGGGCGACTTGCTCGCCGCCTCGGCTGCCGCGCCCGGCGCCGCGGCCGAGCGGTACGAGGAGCAAAAAAGCCACTTCCTCGACACCGAGCGCAGCTGCGCCGCCGCCGGGATCACCTTCATTCCCATGGTGGTCGAGGCGCACGGCGGCGGCTGGGGCAGGGAGGCGCGACGCGCCCTGGCCGTCCTGGCCAAGCGCGCGGCGGACGCCACGGGGGACGACCCCTCGCAGGTGGCGGCGGAGCACGCCCAGCGACTCTCGCATCTCCTCCAGAAGGAGAATGCGCGGGCCGTGCTCCGCAGGCTGCAGGCGCCAGTCGGGGCGCCCGCGGCCAGGCTGGCGGCGGCCACGGCGGCTAGCGCGGCCGACGCCGCCTGAGCCACCGCCCTCCCCTGACCGCGACCACTCCCTCCACTGACCACGACCACCGCCCCCGACGCCCTGCCCCGACGACCCCCCCTGGCCTTGGCCACGACGACGACCACCTCCGTCCGCCCCCTGCTTGCTCTGCGCGGCCCCTGCTGCTTCCCTCCCTCCTTCTGGTCAGCGTCTGTTCGGTGTGTTTTTTCCTCTTGCCCCTCGTCTTCCTCCTCCTCCTCCTCCTCCTCCTCCTCCTCCTCCTCCTCCTCCTCCTCCCGGGGCTTGGCGCCGCCGCCGCCCGTCGGCCAGCCCTGCAACAGGGCGATGGCGGCCTCTGCCTCAGGCGAAGAAGCCCGACGGCAACCGTCGCCTTTGGGCGCGGAGCCCGCCAGGCCGCGCGGCCAGCATAGGGCCCTCCAGCAAGGCGACCACTTGGGGCGCCGCGCCAAGGAGCGCTTGCGCACGGCCATCGCTCACGGCTTGAGAGTGGTTGTAGATTTAGTGGCACTGCTGGGCGTGATGTCGTCGGTGGATAGGCCTAGGAATGCTGGGGCGGTCGGTCCATGCTCAAGGAGCAGAGCGAGCGACCTGCGGCGCGCGCCTCTGGGCGGGCAGGCGCTCCAAAGGCCAGCTGCATGGCCCCGCCCCCGTGCGTTTGTATTGGTACCATTTCTTCTAAATCAGTGCTGTCAGCACCAGACTGTTGCCTGCAGCATTTGCGAAGCGGAATTGATGGCATTGGTGGCGGCAAGTTGCGCATCATTTTCCGGGCCTTCCCGACGCAAGCGTTGTGTGTTGTTTATTGTTGACAACACGTTTCTCATCTTCGTTGTTTCCACGATGATGCGTCCGCATGGCAATACTTTGTTGGGCTTTTCTTATCATTGACCGTGGGTGTAAGTATCCCCCCAACACCAAATTATCCTGGCGAAGGTCCCAACCATATGCAGTTGTGGGTACCGCAATTGTGAATATCTACTTCGGTGAAGCTCCTTATGGGGCCACGAAGCGCTGCACTGGGCGGGGGGTTTCAGTTTCCGGGACGCATGCGGACGGTCCCACTGAGGGTTTCGGTGGAGCTCCCTATGGGGCCACGAAGCGCTCTACTGAGTGAGTGAGAGTGCCAAATTGGGTTACCGGGACGCACGCGGACGGTCCCAGTGGGGGCTTCCGTGGAGCCCCCTTATGGGGCCACGAAGCGCTGCACTGCGCGGGTGAAAATGCTAAATTGGGCTTCCGGGACGCATGCGGACGGGGGCACTGGGGCCTTCGGTGGAGCTCTCTTTGGTGCCACGAAACGCTGTACTGGGTGGGTGAAACGCAGTGAGGAGGGGGAGGAGGGCCACGAAACGCTGTACTTGGTGTGCGGGACGCATGCGGACGGTGGAGGATGGGGAAGAGGAGGAGAGCAGGAAAACGCGGGGACCGTCTCTTCAAAATGAGGACCCAACACCACAGGATGGCTGGGAAAAACATAGGCCTCCAGACTTCATCCCCCTCGAGACCTCTGACTCTTGGCCGCCCACTGCTGCTGCGGCCCGTTCGCAGGGGGGAACATGCAGCGACATCAACACTCAAAACTCTGAGACCCGCGCGGCTTCCTTGGATCGGCGCTGGGGCTCCTGGCGGCGCCTCTGGCGCCGCCCTTGGCGCGGCGATCCGAGGAGTCCGCGCGGACCTCCGAGAGTTTGATGTCTGTGTTTTTTGTTGTATTCCCTTGGCCTCAGGACGGGAAACAACACACAGACGCCATGGACTGTCGACTCCCAGGAATCAAAGGGAAACTTTGGGAAGCGGGTGGGAAGACGAACGCCCAACAAAAATATGCGAAAATACGGGGAATATTGGGATTTGTGTCCATTCATCTGTGCGTCCCCGAGCCCCTTGCTGGTTCTCCGTGCCCCGCCTGGGCGGGGTCGCTCGGCGCGCGCAACACGCGCGCACGCGCGCGAGCGCTGCGGGGCACGCTCGGAGCGGTCTTCTGGGCGTTCCGAGCGGTGCCCCGGGCCCCGTGGGCGATGCCCTGACCTCGGGAGCCTTGAGACGGGGGTCAATGCAAACGGGGGTCAGCCAGAGCGCCGGATCTTGCAGGATCCTGCAGGGCCAGGGTCGCATTGACCCGGGTTTGGGTGCAGGATTTTTGCAGGATCGTGCGCATCGACCCGGGTTTGGGTGCAGGGTCTTGCAGGATTTTGCAAGGCCTGGTTGACCCTGGTCTGGATTGACCCGGGTCAGAAGATCCCCGATGACCAGTCCGGACTGCAGCCCGCGAGCAGAAGAGTAGGGGGGGGACAACGTCCGCAGACCCCCTCGAGTCACGAACAAAAATGAGGCTGCAGGGTGTGCCCCTGGGGGTCCTCACAGGTCCTCGGCAACAGAACGACTCAGGATGAAAAAACATGTCCCATGGAATCGGTCGAAACCTCTGGGGGTCAACCTTGTGAGCAAATCATGATGTTGGTGGCCTGGGATAGTGGGGGGACATGCTCAGAGGGGTATGTATGTATGTATGTATGTATGTATGTATGTATGTATGTATGTATGTATGTGTGTATGTGTGTATGTGTGTATGTATGTATGTGTGTATGCTTGTATGCATGCGTGTGTGTAGGTATGTCTGAGTAGGTCGGTCTGTCTGTTTGTCTGTCTGTAAGTCTGTTTGTATGTATGTAAGTGTGTGTATATATGTATGTACGCACCTACCTAAGTACGTACGCACGTACGTATGTATGTATGCCTGTATGTCTATATGTCTGTATGCATGTATGCATGTATGTCTGTATGTAGGCACGTATGTGTGCATGTATGTATGCATGCATGTATGCATGTACATGCGTGTATGTATTATGCATGTCTGCATGTACATTACCCGTAGCACCCTGCAGATGCGGGTAAGAGTGAGGGGGTGGTGAGACGTCGTCAGTTTGCGAGACTCGAGAAGCCCGCTGCAGGCGCCAAAGTTTCACAAAGTATGCAATGAGCCCGCCGCAGGCACCGATTTTTTCGGTAAACCAATGTGGGTAGGTCGCGGGTGGGTCGCAAATGGGTCGCGGGTGGGTCGCTGGTGGGTCGCGGGTGGGTCGCTGTTGGGTCGCGGGTGGGTCGCGGGTGGGTCGCGGGTGTGGAGGGCAAAACGTTCACCCCATAATAATCACCCCGACAAGCGAAGCCGTTTAGTAAACGCGCACAAGGAATGAATGGAACAGGGCAGGGCTGTTTAGTAAACGCCCAAGGCCGTTTGGTAAACGTCAATTGTCGGGTCCGGGTGTTTTTTCATCCCTTGAGGGTGGGTCGCGGGGTGGGTCGCGGGTGGGTCGCGGGGTGGGTCGCGGGTAAGTCGCGGGTGGGTCGCGGGTGGGTCGCGGGGTGGGTCGCGGGTGGGTCGCGGGGTGGGTCGCGGGTGGGTCGCGGGTGGGTCGCGGGTGGGTCACGGGGTTGGTCGCGGGTGGGTCGCGTGTTGGGTCGCGGGTGGGTCGCGGGGTGGGTCGCGGGGTGGGTCGCGAGGTGGGTCTCGGGGTGGGTCGCGGGTGGGACGACGACAAAATACAACAACAACAACAACAGCAACAACAACAACAGCAGCAGCAGCAAGAACAACAACAACTTCAACAACAACAACAATAATTTTAAGACTGTTCGCCCTTATATGCTCGAGTGTCCAATAACGCGTATTTCCCAAACCTTCGATACCCGCCCTCTTCGTCTTCGATCGAACCCCTTTTGGGGGGTATACCTTTCTTCCCTGCAGGCAGGGCCCCGGCAAGCGGCGGGGCGGCCGCGGACCGTCGGCCTGGCCAGCGGCAGCGCTGATCGGCGGGGCGGCCGCGGACCGTCGACCCGACCCCAAGAGGGACGGACAGGGGACCGATCACGACGACGACGACGACGACGACGACGACGACGACGTCGACGACGTCGAGACGACGGCGACGACGACGACGACGACGACGGCGACGACGAGCGAAAGCGAGAGCGAGAGAGAACGACAGCAGGGCCACGAAGGGCACGAAGTAGGCCACGAAGGGCGACAGCGGGGACACGAAGGGAATGCGTATGGGGCCACGAAGAGCGCGAACGAGCGGGGGCCACGACATGCAGATAATGCGGGGCCACAGAAGGCAACTATGGGGCCACTGAGGGTAGCAACTGGACCACGTAGGACAGTGAGCGGGACACAAATGGCGACAGCGGGGCCGCGAAGGGCATGCACATGGGGCCACAACGGGCGCGACTCCTGGGTGCTTGGGTGTCGGGAGCGCGGCGCTTGGGCAAATCGCAGGAAATCCCAACGCAAGTCCATTCTTCAGTAAGTTGCAAACAAGTCTCCAGCGAGAGCGCGACTCCAGAGCGCCGGGAGAGCGATTTCTAAATACATTGTAAGGAAGTCCCAAGCGAGAGCGCGATTCCTAATTAAAATGCGAGGAAGTCTCGGGCGGGAGCGGGGGTCCTGGCTAAATTGTAAGGAAGTCTCAGGCGGGAGCCGTTGTTGTTGTAACCCGGGGTCCAGGGGCCCAGTTTGAGCATCAAGACCTTCCCTGTCAAAAAACAGGGTGCGAGCGTCGAGGGGCACACTTTGATTGAGAAAGAACAGTATGCACTGGTGGGGGTGATCAACAATAATTGTTCTTCAGAAGTGAGGATTCAATAACAACAACAACAGCAACAACAACAACAACAACGCAACACTTAGAATTCTCACCACGAATTCCCTATCCAGCCACGCATCCAGGGACAATGAATGACCGTTCGCCCCCTTCACTCTGATCTCTCTCTCTCTCTCTCTCTCTCTCTCTCTATATATATATATAGATATATGTATATGTATATGTATATGTATATGTATATGTATATGTATATACACACACCTATATATATGTATATATATATATATATATACACATGTTGCCTTCAGCCCATCCCGCCACTGTGCCTAGGTTGTGGGTATGAGGCCTATCGGGTGTTCATTGGGATCTCGTGCGGGGTTTCTTGGGAGCCTCTTGGAGGCAGTTTGGACGCCTTTGAGGGACCGTTTGGGGGCCTCTTGGGGCGTCTTGGGGGTCTCTTTGGGCCTCCTGTGCGCCTCTTGGGGCCTCCTGGGGTCCTCTTGGGGCAGAAGGCTCGGATTTTCGCTTAGTGTTCCCTCTCTGAGGCCCCTTTCGGGACCCTCTTGGGCCATCTTGGGCGCGTCTGCCCTCTTGGGCTGTTTCGGGGCCTTCTTGGAGGCCTCTTGGGCCGTCATGGGGTTGTCTTAGAGGCCTCTCGGGCCGTCTGGAAATGTCGGGAAGCGAAGAAGTCGAGAACGCCCACATCCTTCAAACACCTAAGGGAAAACAGTGTTGTTGGCCTCTTGGGACCTCTTGGGAGGGCTCTTGGAGGCCTCTATGGGCGTCTTTGACGCCTCTGGAGCTCTCTGAGAGCCATCTTGGGCGTGTTGGCACGATCTTTCGGCGGCTCGGGGCCATTTTGGAGGGTCTTGGCAGCCTCTTGGGACTCCTTGGGCCCGAAAAAGTCACGCGACAAGTGGCCGGGAACCCCAGCCACGTTAGGCGGGGATGTGCGCTCAGGAGCAACGTTAGGCGGGGATGTGCTCAGAAGGGGAGGCATCGACCCCGAATCGCCCATGCATCGCCGATGTGGGCCTGATAAGTCTGCCCCGCCCAGGATCGCTTGCACTCGCTATCGAGACCCCATCGACGATCTATCGGCGATGTGTCGCCGATTCCAGGTTAATGTTTTCCCTCAGAGGAAAGGGCATCCATGGCGAAGACAGTGTAGAGGCGAGGATGCCGATGAGCTCGGGGAGGGACGCCGAGGGTTGGCCAGCCGCAGAGCTGTTCGGCGTCCGCGTATGCCGACGAGGACGTGATGGACATGGACGACCTCTCGGTGAAGATCGATTGCAGACAGCTCGACGCGGCTCTGTGGGAGCTGCGCTGACGGCATCCTCCGCGCACAGCGAAGAAGAAGCACCGGCACAAGCATAAAAGTTCAGAGGGCCGCGCGGATCTCTTGGATCGGCGCTGGGCCCCCCTGACGGCGCCTCCGGCGCCGCCCCTGGCACGCTACGCGCGCCAGGGAAGGAGGCCAAGCGCCGATCCACGAATTCCGCGCGGTGCTCCGAAAGTTTATGTTTCTGCAGGGAACCCTTCCTCTAGCACAGCATCGACCGATGATTTTCAGGACCTGTGTCAGTAGAACACGTAATTATCCTGTTCAGCTCCACCGATGGCATGCAGCCTTTGTTGGCCCTCGCTGCACCACTCGCGTCGTACTGAAGGGCTTCGGTGGACAAGCACACGTTGGCGCTGACACGCGTTCTGAGGATCATCGAATCGAGGGATGCGCGTGTGATCCCACCGAGACTGTAGGAATTCGGCGGAATTTGTTGAGCTTGACTCGCATCCTTACGAGAAGTGCGCTTAAGGCGCGACTGACGGCCTCCAAGCGGCTGGCACCCGGCAAACCCACCTTCGGCTTGGCCTTTCTGTTGCTGAGTGATCTCGGCCGTATGTTGTCCTGTCCTCGGCGCGGAAAGCAACAAGCAGGGATACATCCAAGCACGCGGTCAGAGTCATGATCGGAAAGGCCGAGCTATCAGCTTCCCGGTGTGCTCGCGCATGCGAAACGCCGAGGGCCCTGCCTTGCAGTCGACTTTCGGGACCGCTCGGAGTCAGGTCTGGGCCGAAGGCGGGTTCGTTTGCATGCGAAAGGCGGGCCGCGACCCCGCGAGCGCTGGACGCGCGGAGCCAAAACGGATCGCCTGCTTCAACGCGCTCCAGGTTCAGTGTGCTTATGCGTCGTCGTGAGGTGCTCTCTCTCTCTCTCTCTCTCTCTCTCTCTCTCTCTCTCTCTCTATATATATATACATATATAGAAGAAGAACAAACACAAAGCCAAAACATTAGTTCTTGGAGCTCCGCTCGGAGGTCTGGGGTCCAGCGCCGATCCACCAATCCCGCGCGGCCCTCTAGAAATTGTGTCTATGCCGTTGGCTGTTCTTTTACCCGTGTCGGACGAAATGGGGGAATTGGGAAAGGGGGGGTCGCGAAAGTTTCTGCATGCAGCTGGTGTCGGCATCGCTGGGCCAGCGATACGTGGCCCAGCTAGCTACGTGAGTTGATCCGCACACATGCACACATACACAGTCATCGAGAATAAACGAACCCCTAACCTTACTATCATGATGAAGACGTGGCCTCACTTAGGTCCCCGTCTTCGCATTAGGGATAATGACTCTGGGCGGTTGGGTCTAATACATCTGCAGAACAGACCCCCTATCCCTGATTGTTCTGGCGCTCCTAACTTAGGTTCCCCCTCAATGGATTAGGGGGTCCTGTATTGCCAATCACACGACCCTGTACTAACCCCCTCTTCCGACCCGACACCCCGGCTCTGTTCACGCGGCGGAAAATGTATTCGTATCCGCGGCCTTGCAAGAGACCCTTGGGCCACGACCCCGCTGATGCGGGGCGTTCTTTTGTCGCGGATGCCTCGCGCGGAGCGTGCCCCTGCGACCGCGCACCCGCGGGGTTGCTCCCCGGTTCCCAGGCCGCGAGGGCGCAGATATGGATATGTTCGCCGTTCGTGAGGTTGGGATCGAGCGCCATTGTCTGGCGTCCGGTGGTGCAGCTAGGGGGCCACATGCGAACCCTACCCCTACCCTCCACGATTTCTGAGGGGGAGGGTGGGGTTCACTTCGCTCGGGAGCTCCCGAGTGGAGTCAACCCCACCCTCCGTGGCCACCGCCGCGGCCGCCCCCCCCGGCAGCCTCGGGGCAGGCGCTGCCTTGCCCGAGCCCGCGTGCCGCACGCCCCGAGCCATGCTCCGAGGAGGGGGCCCCGGCATGCTCCGAGCACGCTCGAGCGCGCCCCGAGCGTGCTCCGAGCACGCTCGCAGGGGCGCACGCCCCGAGCACGCCCCGAGCACGCTCCAGCGCTGCCCCGGCGCACGCCCGGCATGCTGCGAGCGCGCTCCAGCACTGAACGGGCGAAGAACGGTATATAACATAAACTTTTTCGCCGTCGGGGACATCTGCCCCTGGGCGGCTGGAAAGCTTATACCCTTACGGTGGCACCGTAGGGGTATAAATTTTCCAGCCGCCCAGGAGCAGGTGTCCCCGACGGCGAAAAAGTTTATGTTATACCGTTCTTCGCCCGTCAAAGCACGCCCGGAGGCTGCTCCGGCGAAGAGGGGCTCTGCGTCGCACCGTCGTGCCATCGTCAGCGGCCACGCGGGTGGGGGGGGTGGGCACAGGCTCGGGGGCACCGCGGTTGCAGCCTCGGGATGCCTTCCAGCAGCCGCGCCTCGCCGAGGGCGTCCCCCGGGTGCCCGGCTTGTCGCGAAGACGGCCGCCAGAGGCCTGAGAGCTGCTGCCCGAAAGCCGCAAGGGGCAGCTCTTTCGGGGGGATAGGCTCAGGGGGGCACGCCGGGTAGGGTTGTGGACGGCGATCAATGGAGAGGAAGCATGCTGCCAAATCATTACCGGATGTATATAGATGTGTTAAACATGTCTTAGACCTGTGAAAACAAATCATGCTCTGAACATGCTTAGAACATGTTTTCGACATTTTAAACACATCTGCAATTCAATGCTAGGATTGTTAGTGTGTCCATTGCCATGGCATCCACAAGAGTAGGGGGCCTGATGAGGCCACCCCGTCCAGGAGCGGTCGGATTCGCTATCGGGGGCTATCGACTCCATCTCGGGATTTCCCCCCCCCCCCCCCCCCCCCCTCCTCCTGAGCCATGCCAGTCTCCTCCTATAGTTTTCCCCCACCTCTTCATCATGAGGCCGTGCAACGACTGCATCGCTGCCACCTAAGAGTGTCCTGATGGTCACGCTGTCGTTCCCCCCGCTCGATTGGCCACGCCGTCGCCGCTGCGTCGGCAACACCGCAGGAGGGGGAGGAGGATGAGGAGGAGAATTGCTCTGCGTCTTCTCTGGGCTCTGCTACTCTGTGCCTGTTCTGGGCACTCCGCTTTTTATATTATGTTTGCCTTTCCTGCCGATCTAGTTCGCGTTTGTCTTTCCTGCCTCTTTGGGCCTCCTGGGAGGCCTTCGTCGCCACGGCTGGCTTCGCCTCGAAATTCTGGCCAGACCGCACCCCAGGAGAGGGCCGGGGAGTAGCGATATCGGTAGTTTTGCGTGTCCCCAAATCGGGGATGCAGAACAGAGCTTCACATGGGCCCTCTAGGGCGGTTTTTGGGCCCCTGCGAGCTCCAAAAGGGGCCCTCTTAAGGCCCCCACCTGGAGGCGGCCGCACCCTTCTCTCCCTCCTCCTCTTCAGCTCCTCTCCTCAGGAAGCCTGGGAAGGAGAGGGAGAGGATGGAGCAGGAGGAGAGGGAGGAGGTGGATGAGGCCAAGGAGGTGGATGGAGGAGGAGGAGGAGGAGGAGGAGGAGGAGGAGGAGGAGGAGGAGGAGGAGGAGGAGGAGGAGGAGCATAAGGATGGAGGATGGGGATGACGGTGTAGCAAGATAAGCCGATGTAGCAGTGGCAGAAGAAGGTGGATCCTCTAAGGAGGAGAAGGAGGAGGAAGAGGAGGAGGAGGAGGCGGAGGAGGAGGCGGACGAGAGCACCCGCCTCTGGAAAAGTGGTGCAACTTTTGCAGGTTGTGTCGAAGAATCGTCGGGGGACTTCCCTGGGGAAAGTTTTTCACCCAGGGCCCGAAGATTGTGCCCGCAGACCAAAGTTATAAAGATCCGAGGGCGACGAAAACAATTTGCATGAGGTGAATTGCTTTTCCAGGGCAGTGTCGTGCCAGACGTACCAGGCCAGTCCCAGACATCCGGAGCTCCAGCTTTCTCAATGCTTCTACCCCTGGAGGCCTGAACAATTGCCCTACGGCCAATTTCATCCTGAGTCTTTCGTTGGCGGTCCCAGGGCCCGTTGAGGGCTCCCGGAGGCCCAAAATTACTGAACACCGGACGCTCCATTTTTTGGGGGAACCTCGGATCTCTAGAGTGGATCTTCTCAGAAGGAGGAGGAGGAGGAGAGCAGTTGAATGGAGGACGAGGAGGCAGGGGTCGACCAAAACGAACATTGCTTTGGCAATTCGATATCGTGGATCGGTTTTCTCTTCATTTTCGTATTCCTTTCAATCTATGGGGCCCACCACTGGCTTATCACGACTTTGGGGATTTGCGCCGGAACTCTCTTTCTGGGCCATGGGCTGGCCCGTGTGCGTCCCACAACGCCTCAAAGCGAAAACGAAACGAAAGAACGGAACGACAACGAGCACGAATCCAAACAACGAACGCGACACGAACACGGAACGAAAACCACAGAACGTTCTCATGGGCCATCGGCCGGAGCGCTTTCGTTACGCAGCGTTTCAAAGTGACAACGACATGAAACAATGAGACGAAGACGAGCTCGAAGCGAAACAACGAACGCGACACGCACACATAACGAAAAACACGGAAGGCTCTTTTGGGCCATCGGCCGGAGCGTCTTCGTTCCACAGTGTTTCAAAGCGACAACGACATGAAACAAGGCAGGATCAGAGTCAGAGACAGAGCCCCCCCCAGCCAGGGGTCTCAGGGATGGGTTTCGGGTGGAAGGTTTCTTGTGGTCGGGCCCCATACTGTAGGGTCTACCTTCGTCCCCCCTCCCTCTCGCGATCGATACAGTGGAGGCCCATGCCAAGAAACACCCTGCTTGCCTCCAAGGTGCCCTGGGGTTCTTGGATTTCGATGGTTTTGCTGTGGAGAGCGCTGTGTCCCCGCGCCAAAAATCCATGGACGTCCTGGGGTCTCAGGGTTGGGTTTCTTGTGGAAGGCTTCTCGTGGTCGGGCCCCTGCTGCAGGGTCTACCCCTACCCTCGTCCCCCGTCCCTCTCCCGATCCATACATCCTTCTCACGCCCCCCCCCTCGCCCGCCGCAGAAACGCAAGAGAACAAGAGCAAGGAGCGGCGTTTGGGTCGACCCCCCCCTGCGCGGAGGCGCCGCGGCGCGAGCGGCCGCCAGGCTTCGCTGAAGGTGGAGCCCACAGCGCCTCGGAGAGCGACAGCGAAACGAAACACAACGAGACGAACGCGAGCACGAAACGAACAATCAGGCGGGGGGAAAGCAACAACACGCCGACACAATGAACCGTCGCTCCCCAGGAAACTGTGGGAACACGAGCACGAAACGAACAACAATCAGGCGGGGGGAAAACAAACACACAGGCACAATGTATCGTCGATCCCCCAGAAGATATGAGAACATATGCGAAGTGAAAGGGGAAGACGAGCATCCAGAAGAAATATTGGGACTCTTTGGAGCTGTGTGTATTTATTTGTGTGGCCCTGGGCCCCTTCCAGACGACGAAAGCGACACGAACGCGCAACCAAATCAGGAGGGAAACAAACACAGACACAATTCATCGTCGATTCCCAGGACACTACGGAAACATATGGGAAGTGGGGGGAAGACAAAAACACAGAAAAAATGAGAAAATATGGGGAATCCTTTGATTTGTGTGTATTTATTTGTGTGCCCTGGGGCCCCTTCGCCAAAAGAGCTCGGAGCGCCGGTTTGGCCGACCCCGTCGCGAGCGGAGCGCGGCCGCGGCCGCGTGCGGGCCGCCAGGCCGCGGAGGTGGAGCGGCAGCGCTCCGAGCTGCAGGCGGAGGCGGAGAGGGCTCACCGCGCCCGCGCCCGCGCCGCGCCCGCGCCGCGCCGCGGCCGACCGCGGGCAGCGACAGATGGCAAACATGGATTACAATCGGGGTCCTGAAGAAGGAGCCCTTCTCGTTGGGGAGGGGCT